GGTTTTTTTTTTTTTTTTGGCTTGGGGCAGCCAAAAAGCCAGAGCCGGCCCTGCTTATAATATGATAATCCCTGTTTGAAAAAGCTTCCAAACTAGGTGATCTTAACAATAAGCAAAATGTGTTCATGTACAGAGCCGTAATGACCTCTGCATTTTAGGTACAATTAAAGTGTTGTGGTTTTCGAGGAGGCAATATGAATATCATTTTGAACAAATAATTCACATGTGTATGTCATAACATATACAATACTGAAACACCACCACTCATTTCAGATGCCACACATCAAGATTGTGGAAAATTTGTTAAACAATAAAGCATCTAAATACCAGTTCAAATGTCTCAGCACTTGCATTGCCTTAGATAAGTGCACCGCACAGTGTTACATTTTAATCCAGATCTATAAAGTGTATGCACATGGGATAAATCCCTGTTTCAGCAAAGATGTGTTTAACCTTAAACACATCAATAATCCCATCCCTAGTGAGCTAAACATTCAACAGGTGTCTAAATCCCACTGAAGTCAGTGGGATTTAAGCACACGCTGAAGTGCTTTGCTGAATAGGGATGGGATTACTCATGTTTAAAATAAAGAACGTGCTTAAAGTGCTTTGCTTAAATTTGGAACCAGAAAATCCAAAGATTGTTTCTCTCAATGTACAGTTTATAAGTACCGCTGTAATTTAGTCTGGGTGTTTCTGCAGAACTGCTCACAAAACTACCACTTTGGAAGGTGCTTAGACTGTAGCTCTGATTGCTTACTCCTTTCAGTATTATATGAAAGTTAAATGTTTGTTAGGGAAGTCCAAGAGGATGCTTGCAATTTTTCAATATACAGCACATACAGTTTTCTCATGTTAAAAACAGCCATTAAGCAACTGCTTCAAGACACTCAGTCTTCCAGAAGGTAATGTAATGTAAATTGCTGTTTTCTTACAAAAGTATGCAGTTTTTCAAGCTTACTACTACTGATTGTGTACCAGACTCTATGCATCTATATAACAGCACACCTTGAATCCAAAGAGAGAGTGCAAAGGCACAGTGCTTTAGGATTGGTTTCAGTGGTAGCCGTGTTAGTCTGTATCAGAACCCCCACCCCAAAAAACGAGGAGTCCTTGTGCCACCTTAGAGACTAACAAATTTATTTGGGAATAAGCTTTTGTGGGCTAGAACCCACTTCATCAGATGTATGAAGTAAAAAATACGGGAGCAGGTGTAAATACCCGGAAGGAGGGAGTGATTTACCAAGTGTGAGGTCAGTCTAACGAGATAAATCAATTAACACTTTGAGGTCTGTTATTGAGTGACCAGAGAGATTGAAGTGTTCTCCTACTG